TAGAGCACCTCCGAACAATTAAGTGCCAGCCCCTAATATAATGCCACTGTGGATTTTATGGGACTGTGGTAGAAACCGTTATAAAACAGTATTGTGTTGTTTGTTCAAAAATTTTCAACACTTGTTATTTTTCCAATTGAGACGGGTGAATTTGAATTGTACCAAACTAATTTTTCAATTTTTGCATAAAGCGCATTGGCTTGAATATGGTGAAAATAGCAAAAAGCTTACATTTACATTTTTAAATGGTTACGGTAGCACTCATGTCATTGTTCACTACTTCCATTATAGTTTTGAAACCTCTTATCCTGTTGAAACTGAATTCTTTCAAAAATTTTGAACTTTCAACTTTTGCCAATTATTTCTCGCCTCGTCACCCATCCTTTAAATTACCCTCTCCCTCTCATCATCATCTCCATTTTTTTTGGCTTTCACACTTTTCACTTTTTCACTCAATTGTTGTCCTTGCTTCCTTCTTTTCTTCCTGTATCGAATGATGGGGAGAGAGAATAAAAAAGTAGGAAAGAAATAGTACCAATTTGTTCTTCTTCTTATTCTATTCGATATCTACTTCTTCCTCTTCATTCTACTTGAATGGATTTGCATACAAAATAAAGTATGGACAACACAAAACAACAACTGTAGTGGTTTCTGTGTTTTGTTGTTTTTCTTCGGTTTCATAGTGGTTTTATTTTGATTGTGGCTTACAACTAGAGAAAAGTTTGATTCCATTTCTTTAAGAAGTGTTTTTTCCGAACAAATGAAGTCTACATTTTTGTAAAAATTTTATCTGTTCCTGTATATTTCTAAATTGATTGAATCTGTAAAGTATTGCTATGTTGAACATATTCGTGTTATTCGAAGTTAACTTTTTTTGGAAATTAGATGTTTTTGAATTTCAGGCTGTAAAGTTCCTCAGACACATTCATAACACACATCAGAGAAATTAATGAGGTTCAAACTTCTGTAAAATTAATTCTGTTCTAGAAACTTCATAAAATGGTTGGCCCTAATAGCTATTGATGCTTTCTTTATTGAATTCTGCTCATGCTCATTGATGCTCATTCTGAAATCCAAAATATTCGATTTTATAATTTTCTGGGAAATTCTGTGTTTTTGAATTTCAGCATAGAAAGAGTAAAGAGCGAAGGGACGAACAGTAAAAAATTGAGTTGTTTGAAGCGAAAGAGGCACGACAAACCGGCTGTTTAGACTTAAGCTCGCTGATTTTTTTCGGGGTACGCATTTTTGCGTCTTGGTGTACATCAATTTGCTGTTTAAAACCTCCACTCTCTTGTCCGGCCATGGTACCCCTTTTAAGTATACCATAAGTCAAGTAGCTGAGCGGCGTGCCACTTCCGATACCCTTCCCGCAACCGAGTCTCCGCCCCTTTTTGCAAGTCTCGCGCACTTTTAAACTTTCTTTCTACTAAAACAACGCTCCTAACAGTATAAAAAGTTTCGTATATATTTAAACTGTAAGAAACAGAAATAAAAACCGGAACGGAACCGTGCGGTGAAATTGCAAAAATAGGCGGAGTTGCTCTTTAAATGAGGTGAGACAGAAGATCCACAAGTTCTACTCCTCGAGGAGCTTATATGAACGAAGTTTCGAGAAAATTTAGTTTTTAATGTCTCCTCGCCTTTAAAAATTATTTTCGGGATTTTACTGTTACACAATGCCACTTTAAAAAATGTTTTTTTTTCAGTCTGCTATTACCCAAGTCGTCCTTAAACTTACAATTTGAGCTCAATTATCTCCGTTCCTACGAGAGATATTGAAAATTTGTCAACTGATGAAATGTTTATCAGAATATCAATAGCGTTTCATCAGTCAACCGTTTTTTGATACATTTTTGAGGAAACGAGATAATTAAGCTAAAAATTGTGCTATCCAAAATAAACTCAAGCATTGACCAAAATAATTATTTCAAATTTTTGGAAATCAAAAAAATTTGTTTCAGTTTCACAAATTGCATATTCCAGTTTTCGAACATTTGTTCATGATAAGTCAGAGTTGATAGGAATTTTCCTAAACTATTAGAGCATTTACGATAAATCCTTCATAATTTAGTTTCTCGGTTTTACCATCTTTCAAGATTTCTTACCACATGATTTTCCCCAAACTTTTCGGTCAACTCGATTCTCAAATCTCTTCTCATTTTTCAAGTGCTAAAACCCTTTTATTTCTCATCTCTCACCTAATTTTTCTCTATTTGCACAAATGTTTCTATCAGTACACTTTTATGAAGGGGGTGCGAACAAATGAAGAGGAGCCATTTCTCTGTTTTCTCTAATCCTCTCACTCTCTCCTTATCACTAGTTATCAGAAGTAATGTGAGTGTGTTGTAGTACTGTCCTGCCTCTCAATACCCATACTCACATTCCTATCGTCCCTTCTTTTCATTCTTTTGAATTTGCACAAATAAAATACAACACACAACATTTTATTTTTCATATGTTTCTCATTATACCCTCCCATTGTACATTTAGTTTTATTTCTCTCTGGCTGAACTCTAATTTCTATTTTTCTCTAAACCTCTCTATCTACCATTGTCTCTAATCTACCGGTTTGTTTTTCATTTTTATGAGGATTATCGTTTTTTTTTTCAATTTTTTGATCAGTGAAAGTTTTGAGTATTAGAATGACATGAACTGGTTTTTGAATTGAAAAATAGAGGAAGTGATGATAATATTGATAGGGATTAGAAATTTCTATTTTTTCATTAGAAAACTCTGGAAATTTTCAAGAAATTCCAAAACCTGTTGCTACCCTATGTACTTTCACTTCGAGCTTAATTATCTCGGTTTATATAAGAGATATCAAAAATCTGTCAACTGACAAAACATAGGGCAATTTTATGATAAACATTTTATCAGTTGACAGGATTTTGATATATTTCAAAAAATCCGAGATAATTGAGCTCAAAAAATGGACTACTCATTGACCATTCGAAAAGTGAGTATTCCTAACTATTTTGAAAACAAAAATAATCATTTCAGTTTCACAAACAAGGTATTCAGCCTCAGAACGTTCTTTCAATGTTAAACATTTCGGTGCAGGTTACGATAGAGCGCATTTTCTTTTTGTAGCAAATTCTGTACAACTTTTCCAATGCACATTCTTTGTTTATGAATCAAATCATGGAGTTATACAACTTTTTACGCTTTTACTATCCAAACCTTACCTACATACATTTTGTAGTTAAAATCGGAAAATTTGAATGAAATTTGAAATTGTTAGAATTGAATTAGGATAAACCGAGATTGTTAAATCCGCGTAGCTCAGTGGGTAGCGGTCCCCCATTTTCAGTATTTTGTCCACAAGTACAGTTCCTCAAGAGACTTCGTTTGAATCTAACAGTTAATATATTTTTTGAATTTTTTCCCCATTTCAAAAGTTTCATGTATATCTCAAAATTTACAGAACGTTCATTAGTACGTCATCACATTTCTTCCTTCGTCTTGTAAACCATCAAATTGTGAATCATCTAATAAGAAAGTCAGAACTGAAAAAAAACCAACCGGTAATTGCACGAAAAACCTCCAGTTTCAAATATCACGAGGCTCAATCTGTAAAATTTTTTCGAGAAAGGGAAATGCATTTGTGACCTCATTTGCGATCAAGTTGATTTTATTTCGATCAATTTCTGGAAGTTATGAAGCTGTATTTTTTTTCGTTATGCAACGACTAAATTGATAATTAATTTTTGACACTTCAGAAATATTCTCCATTTGCATTAAAATTGGAATATTCACTTTTTAGAAAACGAAAAAGTGAAACAGAAACTTTTGAAAGAATTTCCAAAAATTGAAAACAATTTTTTTACTGAACATTTGAAACAGAAGCTTTGGAAGCAAAGTAGTTTGACATACATTTTTAACTTCTCTCTCTCTCCACTTCTCTGAAACTGCATGACGTCACACAGTGAACAATAGAGCGCACACTGCATGATGACTCCTCTCGGCTACTACAGTTCTTCTCGCTTACAAGACGTGAAAATTTCTGTTCTCCCCCTCTATCCAGAGAATAAAGACAGGGAGCACAAAGAGCAAACAGTGTCAAGCATTTTTCCAGAGCGGGGGTCTCTCTATCTCTGTCTATTTCTCTGTGTCTCTTGATTTTTCAAAACTCTCTCGGTCCGTCCGTTTTCTCTCTTCTTCATGCTCCCACTACTGTTCAAACTTTTTTGCCTCTCCACGTGTTTCACGTGGAATATCGGAACACTTGTACTTCCCGATTATTCTCTTTAGCTGCTCTTCTTCTTCTTCTTCTTATTCTCCCCTTCAAGCCATTTTCTACACCCCCCCCCCCCCCCCCGGCCCCCCCCCAGTAATTCTTTTTTACACACTTTATGTACAACTTGTGCCCGAAAGAGTCGGACAGTTTGTATGTGCCCGGCAGGCGCCGAAAAGACCCTACTGATAAGAGAGCGAGAGAGGGAATTGTGTCCTCTTTTCACTCATAATCACTTTCTGTCATGCCAAAATTTTTACATGATTTTTCGGTCGACACTAAAAACCAACTTGCAAACTTTCGTCTCTTTTTTTGTGCCAATCGATTTATTTTTTTTTTCTGGATTTTTTTTCTGTTTGAACCTACAGTATCAACTTTAATAATGTTGGAAATTTATCTGATTATAAGCATGTTAATGTATTCTGATTGAATGCTCTAAAAGCATACCATGCTATATAATGTTTAGTACACATGCACTTTGAGCTTAATTATCTCGGTTCCGATTAGAGATATCAAAAGTCTGCCAACTTATAAAATGTTTGTGATATTTTGAAAAACATTTTCTCAGTTAACCACTTTTTGATAACTCTTATAGAAATCGAAATAATTGAGCTCTAATCTAAAGTATAGGGCGACGTTCTAGTAGAGCGGTTATTACCTTTTTTCTGTTTCTTGATCTCTATTCTTTCTAACCTTTATTTTCCCTTGTATTGAATAGTACGTAATTTCTTTCTTTTTAAATTTTTTGTTTTGCAGAGCCAAAATGGTGAATATTCCGAGCGACGCGGTCCCACCTCGACTTTGTGTCATCGAGAAGTTGAACGGAGAGACGGTTAGTTGTAAAAAGTTTATAGGAAAATTCTGTCCGAAGTTTTTGAATCAAGAATCGAAATTTGTATACTGTTTGATGTTAATGATAAATGAAAATCACTGAAATTTATTTGATAGTAACTGGAAAATAAGGGATGGTTCGTTTGAAAACAGTAATTTAAAGTTTCCAGTTAATTTCATGATTTTCTTCAAATTCCTTTAAATTGCCGTTTCAGAATTCGCAGAATTTCTGGTATTTATTTAGTGATAGTTTTATACTCCCCGGGGCTACAACAATATAATTGAGAGTCATCCGCACATTTTGTCATTCGCCGATTACTTTGAAAATTCACCACCACATTGTCATAGTTGTGTGAAACTGGGAATGTTTTCGTTTTAATCCAAAATGAACTAGTGGGAATCATTCGAAATTCTCCATTTATTAGCTGACATCGAAACAGAAGAACAAATTTATAAATTATAAGATCCAAATTTCAGGAATATGGCTACAACTTGCACGCCGAGAAGGGACGTGGACAATTCGTGGGAATTGTCGACGCAAACAGTCCGGCTGAGAGGTGAGAGGATTATCACTGTTTCGAACAATTAGTTTAATATTGAACCTTTTTAAAGACGTTAATACCAGTTCTTTTTTCCGTAATTTTATAAAACAACGAAAAAGTGTTTTATAGAAAACAAGAAGTTCATGCGTACGACCATAGTTACGGTGATGAAATAGTCATGAATTAAGCAACATGCACGCTCTCCCACAGAACATTTCCGAACTGCAAATTAATTTTTGATCTACAGAAAAAAAGTTTGGCGAGATCACAATTGCAGGTCTAAAACCATAATTTCAGAATTTTTTATCTGATTTTGTGGAGTCCCAAGATGATTCAAATGATTCTTAAAAAATTAATTAGTGGTAATAGATTCATGTATGGTCCTTTTCCGGAAGAAAAAATGTCAAAAATGGTAATTTTTGAAAGTTTTTTACAGAAAAAATCTATCTCCTCTTTCAGTTTTTGACATTTCTAGGAGTTCTATAGCTCAAAAAAACTGCAATTATTTTCTCTTCATTTTCTATGGATG